CTTAAGTAGTATGTTCTAGTAAGTATGTTAAACTAATCCTTACTATCATGAGTTTTTTTTTTGTTTTGTTTTTTTTTTGTGTATTTTCGCTCAATTTAGCACATTTAACAATGTTTAGTTGCATATTTTTAACCAGTCAGTATTTTTTATAAAACTATTGATTAAAATGCTACAATTTTTTAATATATTTAATAACTACAATAACCACAACACGTTAAAATCTTACTTGATTTCTCTAATTAGTTGTTGCATTTTTATCGATCTAAATCAAATTGTTTAGTGCAATAATGAAGTAGGTTTATGCGAAACACTAGACTATTTACCTCGAGCAACTAAGTGGGGGAGGGTGAATTTCTTAGCAAGGAAGATTAGACACCGTGAAATATGTCTGTGGTTGTACATGCATAAGGTCTCACAGATTACCAAACAATAGATCAAATACAAAGGTAAGCTTATGGTGGTATAATTTCAGTGACAACATAGGGATGATTTGCTTATAAAAAACACAGTACAACATATTTGAAAACTAATATAAAGTAGGTATAAATAGTTCTTAAGTATAATGACACATAAAATTAAGAATAAGAAGATACATGGGGAGAAAATTTCGTTTACGTATAAGCCGAGTGGGATTATAAATCTATGTCGATGCTTGATGGCAAATCTGTGCGTGCATACGTTCAATTTGAGACCTCAATCATGAAAGTTGGTCGGGTATTGGAGCCAAACGAATTCGGAAAACCAAATTATTAAATATATAAGATCATTGTTTTATCTGAATTTAAATCGTCTTCTTAAAGACTCAACATTACTGTTTAGAAAATAAGTTGCAGTTCTTCCCATTAAAAACATATAACCAAATTAGTAATAAAAGATATTAATAATAGATTAAAAAAACTACTGCAGTGTTTAAAAGCTATAGTAAAATTTTAAGGTCACCATAATAGTCAAATGAATTTTTGCTAGTTACAATTGAGACTCCTCCAGAATATATAGAGGGGAAACACTTAAAACCCACTTTCATCTGAACAGTAAGAATTTTACTTACCTAAAGTAGTTCAAAATGAATTCCCCATCCGAAACCCTCTCTTAAAATTAGAACAAAAGTTTATATTACCCATATATCTGACATTTTTTACCCACCACAGCCAATTATATATTGAAAACATAAAAACCACACAAAGTTATAGAGTAACAACTTATGCAATGCTAGTAAGGCGATAACTCTACAAACAGCTGTTGAGCTCAACAATAGTTAGAAAGCTGATTATATACACTTGGTGCTCCGAGTTACATGACAATGTTGTTTGTTAGCAGCTTTGTGTTTGGAATTGCAATCTGTATTAGGCAGTAATAGTCTTATGTTGGTATAAAATGGTGCATAATGCCAATATAGAGTTTCATATTGTTAATTATTCATCATTACGAGTTCAATGACTTATCCCTTAGATCCTAACTTATAACATATGGATACAAAAATTCATCACTAAACATTCCTCTATTACTTTACTTTGTCAGTAAAAGTTCCTTATCGACTTAATACGGGTATAAAACAACTTGTATGAAACAAAACTTCATAAACCTAAAGATAGCATTGACATATCGTGCTAAAGGGCCAATGTATAAAATATCTAACCATGGAAAATGGGCTTTCCATATGATGGGCTTTCCGAATGAGCTATATGATGGCTTTATACATCATAAATGAACGAATGTTTGAGTTTTGGCGAATTTCCCATATAGGGAATAAGCTATTACCGTAAGTCTCATGGTAAGACCTAGACCCGGGACCGATTTACTTGTTCTTTTTGGGGTCCTCAGAGGCCAAGACACCCGATCCTATTTTTTAGAAATTTTGTATAAACGTGTGTATTTGAACAAGCTCGCGAACCTGTATGATCGGACTATGAAAACAGGTGTGTATGGGGGTTTTTAAGGTGTAAAAATCGGGGTTTCCTATTTTTACCCTAAACATGTAAACTTTCTTTCTTTTAAAACCATTTTGTAGAGCTTAAAAATAATTAATTTTGTATATTGGAGCGTTGTTGTATGCCTAACGGTTGCGGAGATAATTAAACAAAATGTAAATTTAAAATTCCTATGTTTTTTTTATGGAGAATAAATAAACTGTTTAAATTTGCTTATTTATGAGTATATTTTAATAAAATTTGTCCAATTTATTTATTCGATACTAAACTATAAAAATAATAAAAAAATACCTCAATACCTTCCCTAGCAGAAAACCTAAGTACTCATTAAAATTAATAGTATTTAAATAAGAAATAAATCTGGCAATTTTAGGGAATATTTTAGTAGAAATCCAGCCAGGCAAACGGAAATTCGCTTAGTCTGCAAGTTTGTTGCGGCGGGAGTATTTTACATTTATTGCAATGATGATAACAATATTATTAGCGTCGATAAGCACTGCATCATAAATACAAATCCATCATATGATTACTAACCAAATCACTTGCCTAATTTTTAAATGACATGTACTCATGAATAAATATGAAAAAGAGGTATGCGAACTTGTTTCATCTATCTGAAGTGCATGTTCTGAAAATAATTTTAATATATATTACGCTTTTTTAATAGTGAATGTTAATGAGTGTTTTAAAACTGTCAAAAATATTCCTACATTATTTATATCCCAGAAGGGAATCCACCATTCAACATCATTGCCTGCTCTTTATACTAAATGCCACATTGTACTTAAGTTATTTAATAATCTATAAATCACTTATAAACTCCATATAAAAATATTTTGGGAAGTATAATATAAGACATGGTCATCCTCAAAAATTTCTTTATTATTAAAATATACAATACAAATTTTATCAGCTACAGATTGCTTGAAGCCGGTCAGACTATGGTCATAGACAAATAGAATTAAATATAGACCGCCTGCTGTGCTGTAGTTAGCATGAGTTCTGGCGTCCACTGCTAGGAGTGTCATGAAGTTACGTAGCGCGTGCGCCTTAACTACATGCGCTCCAAGCGGTGGATGCCAGAACTTATGCTAAATGCAGCACCGATTTTGGTTTATATGTAATTCTATTTGTCTATGCTATGGCTAAGCGATGGTCCTACGTACAGTACATCTTCTGTGGTAGGTGAACAGGAGAAATATGACATATAATGGTCTTCTCTACGGTATTCTAAGAGAAAGGTCCAGCTTTGAAATATCAGGTGGCCAAAATTGTTAACTTAGTTTTGGTTCTTTCATACATATTAGTTTTATTTTCGTATACTATTTTTATTTTTATATCATAAGCAGACAGTGTTGTTTTAAAATAAAAATGTAGGATAACATTTCATAGCTCACGTTATCTCCGTGAATTTTAATAGGGAATGGTTTATTGGTTAACATATTCGTTGAACAATTTTTATGATTATAAAAATGTTTTGAGCACTTTGATCAAAGTTAATTTTACATTGTCAAGTATTATATCCATAAAATCAGCTGTACTAAACAATAAGAATTTTTACATGGCCTTATACTTTTGTAATTGTTTGATTTCACTCACAATTTTGAATGTTAAGGATTTTTTTATTGCTTAGAAAAATATGTAAATGAGTAAATCTTTTAAAGTAACGTTTAGAATAAGAAATATTGCTTTAGTGAAATTTAGTTTTAAAATATTAATGAATGTTAAATTATTTGTAAACTTAATGGTGATGCATAAAATTTTGTTTTTATTTCACAGGAAAAATTGTATAAAATATATATTTTTATCTACATACAAACTATATTTCACGTATATTTATTACGCTTAAAGCTATGGTAACTTAATATTAACCTATAAACAAAATTTAAAATGTTTTACGTGATGAATAAATCAATCAACAATTTATCCTCAGTGTGTTGTAGGCCGTAATTATATAAACTCAAACGACGCGTAAGATACAGAAATATTTATAAAAGTTTTTATAAACATGAACACTACAGTTTCTTACGGCAAAAAGGCTTTAATCTGAATACCAGGCCATAAACCAAGGCGAAAAAGAAAAATACGTTTTATAGTATTACAACTGTTAATGCATAATAGAAAAATAATCTTGGACCGTAATTAAAATTTTTGCAAGAGCTCGGTTACCTTTTTAATGATTGTTTTTTTCAGTTTCTCCTTCTTTTTCCTTAATATATATAACTAAACGGGTAATTTACTTCCTAACCCAATAACAGTTTTCCAAAATGTATTTTTCAATAGCAACAAAATCTTAACACCGCAAATAGTTAATTTTGTTGAGAGTTACAAAAGAAAAAGCCTGGCATTTAGATTTAGGTCTTGCTACACTGAAAGAGCTCTAGACTTACCTCTAAATATGAAAATATAAAGAGCATTCACAAAACACACTGATAAAAAATGTCACTTTATAAAACGTGTCCGAAATCACAGTGAGTAAGTCGTGATTGGCGTGTTGATGGGGAGCCCCTTGAATATGAGCTTAGGTTGATTTAATGAGAAAATACACATAATACAGTTTTGAGCCCATTGGCTCTTAGCCGGAGGGGTGAATGAAGGTCTTGTTGACAATTAATCATGTGAATGTACTCTTACGAAAGTATACATTACATAGAAAAGTAAAGAAAGCTACAGATGTTATATAATTTAATTACCAATTCTAAATTGTCCATTCAAACTCTTTGCAAAACCTTAGAAAACTACATATGTGGAAATAATTTAACTTTATGTAATATAGATTTATGCTTTTGCCATACAATAAAATAACAAATTAGAATCAAGGAAAGATCAATGGTTACGTGAAGGACATTGTAAACGTAACGTAAAAAAATAAGATAGTGGACTTAGAGAGAAAATACCGTCAATAATTAGGTTTTAGCTTAAAGACAAGTACGTTTAGCTGTTAAGCTTTTACCATGACTTGAGTCGTCGTAGGACTAAATAGGTCCTAAATAAAATTAAATTGGTCATAGGACATTTGCATAGTATCATATGCAAAGAAATAATGTTGTTACAAATTTGTTTTGGATTTAAAAATTTTCTCTTCGGAAAAGAAGTAATGCGAGAAATATTTTACTTATCATCAAATAAAGGTAGTTGATAGGTAAACCTTAAAAGGGGCTCCCAGCACTTGATTTCAACCACGACGAAACCAAAGACTTTATCTCTCTCGTGGAAGATGATAGCGGTCAGGGGAAGCGTGATATCAGTAATCATCGTCATCGTTTTTGCCACAGCAACAACAACAGCACTTGCAAAGAAGCACGATGCACGCGATGGCCAACAGACCGCCTCCAGTCGCTCCTATAGCAATGACGAACCAGTTTGCTTGGCTTTGGTCGATCCTTGCTGCGCAGAGTTCCAGAGCCTCGTCAGCGGCCAGACTTCCGTTAACTACACCAGGACAGTTCATAACACCATTGCACACTAGCGAAGAGGGAATACAAAGACCATTCTCTCCTGGACAGACAAATCCACAATCATCACTCTGCAGCGAGCCTGTCATTCCATCATCAATCATCTTCGAGGTCATCAAAGTCCCATCAGCGTTCCTCGGAAGATGGAACAATTCTGTCCAAGCTATCTTGAACCCGGCTCTTGCTGGAGTGACTGTTCCGATGAATTGGATCTTCACCGACGGCTGTGAACTGTAGCCTGATGCAGTGTGAGGAGTAAGATCCAAAGAGGTGAGCGGTTGCATTTCCTTGGCGCTGACGTTGTGTCCACAAATGGTCATGTATGGAATTTCAGGCCTTGAAGGGAGGTAAACTTCTATTCTTCCATCTTGGCAATCTCTTGTTGCAAACCTGACTTTGTCAAAGTGCAACCACACGTCTCTTTCCCGGTTAACCTTGATTTCCCAGAGGCACTTCAACGACCTTGGAGGTTCTGTGAAGCCGAGAGCTTCATAGTGAGGGTAGTGAAGCTCACCCTCAGTACTAGCAGGGATGTTGGCAGGTCCACACAGTGGTCCATGGATAAACTCATATGTGGCCTCAAACAACGGACTAGGGTGTTTGAAGTAGCTAGAGGCTGAGTGACCTACATCAACCATCAACTCTAGATTCAGCGTCTCCGTGGATGACGTCACTATGGTAACTGGTCGGCCCCCCTTGGAGGGGGTTGTTCTGCAGAGACAGTGTGCTCCTGCCTTGCCAGAGCTTGGGATGGTAGCGATGCTTGGAGGATGGTACGATATGTTGACCAGGGCAGGCTCCCAGATGACCAGCTTGTCCATTCTGCCGTCCCAGCACTCCTCTGGGGGAGCTGAGTTGAATGGGTGATCCTATAAAGAAAGGAAAATATATGTCTTCAACACTATTTGATTTATTTAAACCTATAATGAACACATTAAAAGACAATACATATGTCTTAAATGAACCATAATGGTGAATGATATCGTCCAGTAATCTTTAAGCCCGAAGTAGGACTTCAATAAAAGATTTGTATGCATTATTCTTTCATACTTCGTGCTCGTGTTGTAAAAGTTTTGGTTTACTTTTAAAAGGTAATCTCTTTTTATCAACTCAAGTTTCTAAAACAGACAATCATGGGTTTCAAAATTACTTCCATGTCTACAAATTTGTGACTTGAATTACTCAATACAAATGTCACTATTATTTATTAGGAGTGTGTCATTGCTTTTTCTTTTTGTTTAAAGTGGTTCACTAGCATTTGGAAGATGCTAGTGAAAAATATCATAAAAATATCATTTTTTCCATATTTTTCTCATTTTTGTCAATGTTGCGTCAAGAATTTTTGTTGGCAAACCTCAGATTCGGATTCAGCACCCCAAAATACATAAGAAATGGAAAAAATCAAAACTACCCCAAAACTTTCTCGCTATGAGTGAATTTAAATACAAATTTACTGGATTAAGTTAGGGAAATTTAGGATAAGGTTGTTTAATATCGTATGCACCTGATGACGTGATATTTAGATATACGTAAATAATAAAATGATATGTATGCATATTATACTGTTGCCAAGCATTTACATTGTGTGTAGATTTAACAAGTTAATAAATAAAGAGATGTGTGTTTGGTACTATACTTACTTTCTTACTTACTTAGACTCTAGCATCACAGCCCATTGTACGTCCTCAATCGTATTGGCAACCCATTATAAAATGTTCTGTGTAAAATTTCAAGACCGATGCATGGCTTAGAGTGATTGGCACTGTTACCATAGGCCAACACTAATTTTTTTCACCCGAATGTAAATGTAAACTCTAAGCGAGTTATGTCCACACAGCTGCTTGAGTTGGGGGCAGTGAGGCAACGTTGGTTTTAGTTTTCTAGCCAAAATTTTTATTGACTATCTTAAGTCAATTAACCCTTACCACTCTCATGTAGGCCTATGCCCTACGCCTTAGGACCTACAATCTATTTAATCTACACACAATGTAAATGCTTGGAAACAGTATATGCCTACATAACATTTTATTATTTACGTATATCTTAATATCACGTCATCAGGTGCATAAGATATTACATGATTAATTGATTGGTGTTATTTTAATTTTGATAGTTTTGATTTTGGCATCACTTATTATTATATGAGTAATTTTTTTATACTTTTAACCTTTTTTAAATTGTCCAGATGAACAAGCTAGAATGCTCACAAATAATGCATCGAAACGTTTGCCAGAACCTGCCTCATTACAACCCTCTGAGCGAGGATAATTTAAACGGCAACAGATCGTGTATCTTTTCTGTACACTAAATAAAAAGTCAACGGTTCAGTAACACAAAATTAATCAATTTTAACACTTTGGATTTGTATAAGACCTTTGCCTGGGCATATACAATGAATATGTGTCGTTGACAGAATAATTGGAGAAATTTAAAAACTAACACAAAATGTTCCAATTTTCAAATAGCTCTGGAGCCTAAACGGTTCATCGGAGATTACCACATTAGGGGTACATTTTGTAGCAAATTTTGTGTACTTTAATTTTTATAATACAGACTAATTACAAAAAGTTGATAGTTTCTGAGTTATAAGCTAAATATTACAAAAAATATCATTTTTTCCATATTTTTCTCATTTTTGTCAATGTTGCGTCAAGAATTTTTGTTGGCAAACCTCAGATTCGGATTCAGCACCCCAAAATACATAAGAAATGGAAAAAATCAAAACTACCCCAAAACTTTCCTGGTAAAAACACAAATTAACTGAATTAACTATACAACTATCTCATTTATGATCAATATACCTATATATGTCATACCTTAAAGTTGATACTTTTGATTGTCAGGATAACTCTTGCAAACAGTCTGTTGTCCGTGATGAATTTGTATCGGCAATGAAGATCTCCATCGGCTTCGGTACGTTTGTAGACGAGTGTATTCACTGGAGACCTGTAAAGGGCAAAATACAAAATCGTTTTCATTCAGTTTATTAATTATTTAGACACATCACCTTACTGTACATAAAATAATTCGTGTTTAGTTTATAATACGAAATTATTTGAGTGCAGTGTCTGTAGAGAACTGCATAGACAAAAAGAATTAAATATAGACCGTCAGCTGTGCTGTGGTTACCATAGGTTCTGGTGCACACCGCTGGGAGTGCCGTGTAGTTTACGTAGCGCGTAGGCCGTAACTACATGGTGCTCCCAGCGGTGTGTGCCAGAACCTATGGTAACCATGGTAACCGCAGCACGGCTGACAGTCTGAAAGATGTTTTTTTTAGCTTCAAAGAATTTGAAGAGATATTGAGTATGTTTTGAAAGCATCTATTAATTATCAGAATGTGTGCCTAGTAAAATACAAATGGTTACCGCTCAGTATTGATATTACCGTCAAGGATAAAAGTTTGACATATTCCACAAACTTTTACTTCTTAGAATCAAAATCAATCAAAGTCAAATATTTAAAATAATATACTTTAGAAAATATATAAGCAAAGTAGTTAGCCAAATTAAACACCTAGATGCAAACCATTTTAGTTTTTTCTTTCAGTGTACTGTATGTTTTAGACAGGTCGAAAGAGGATAAGATATAAATAAGATTTATCCATTTTATCCTCGTATGAAAAGTAAAATGAGTTATCGAGTTCCAACTGGAACAACAAGTGATAGATTGAGTAATAATTGAGTAGTACTTAGTTACCTGAGATATCCCGAAGACTTGGTCCAGGAAGCGATTTCTTCGTCACAGACGGTATCTTGAACTGGGCGACCGTATCTTGTGTTGTTGAAGAAATCGTAATGTGCCCAGTAGTACAGAGAAGATCTAAAAAAGGTAAAAATTTAACTTATTTAGAATTATTGTCAATATTTTGTTTTTTGTTCTAAAATTTCTTTTACAGAGTCAAAGCACTATCAATATTCATAATACAGCCAAATAGTTAAACTTTTTATTTAAATATGCATAATTTTGACATACATGAAACAGTGGATATAGATGTTACTACAACGAACTAACCGGACTAAACACTAACATAAGAGATCAACCAATTTTAAAAACACGAGATACAATTTTGTTCAGATATACGGTAAAAAAATCATATAAAAATGTAAATTAGATTGATAAATTTATATACATTGAAATATATACCGTAAAATATACAGGATGGCTGAAAAGTAACTTACACCCACCCTAAACATTTGCACCATTTGAGATATTTGAAATCTGTTTGTAGCAACCTTCTAAGGTATGAGAAGGAGCTACAATAATTACGGCCAATTTTGAAAATTTTGAATTTTTTGAAAAATACCACCACTTAATCCCTTAATCACTTATCTAAGGGCAAAATTTTTAAAACTGACTATAATTATTGTAGCCCTTCATATCCAAACAAGGTGCCGCAAATCGATTTTAAATATCTGAAAAAATTAAAGGGGGTGCAAGTTAATTTTCAGCCACCCTTTATATGTTAAGCTAAGCAGATATTTTAACTCAGTAAAAATCTTTACATTCGTGGAAGCCAAGACATCGATGATTCTGGTGTAAAAACTTTGTGTTACAATCCTTACAATATAATTTTTCCCGCTTTTCCTTATTGCCTTTCATATCTAATTTATCGTTTTCTATAAAAAGAACACTCTATATTACAGTAAAATAAAGACTTCGAATAAAGATACTCTCTAGCACTCAGTTCTGATTTATGGGAATATTATTTACCGTATATAAGTCACTCCTAATAAAAGCCAACTGTAATATCATTAATTCATTTATTAAATATGTACATAGACTATAAGCAATATGTAACGTGGAAAGAAATAATTAAGTAATACTGCAATTAAAGCTGAAATTAAAAGTTCTCAATCAAATTTCAAATATGATTAAATTACATTTTCGCAATCTCTTGATGTTTTAGCTTTAACGAACTCAAAAAAGACCCAATAGCTTAAAAAAAGTGAAAAAAATATTTTTACTTAGTAAACAAATCTTAGTTAGTGTTGATGTCCAGGCACCAACGGGAAATAAAATAGCAAATAAACCCAATGTATTGTTTCGACTGCAATACACTATAGTTATAATTACTATAGGCATAATTGATTAATTGACATGATTGGTTCTAACACAAACAAAGAGAATTAAATATAGACCGATAGCAGTGCCACAGTTAACATAAGTTCTGGCGTCCACTGCTAGGAGCACCGTGTAGTTACGGCACTCACTACGTAACTACACGGTACTCCTAGCGGTGGATGCCAGAATTTATAGAAACTGCAGCACTGCTGTCGATCATTTAATTATATTTGTCCATAGTTCTACTTACCCGGAGTAACTTCCAGTTTTGCTCTCGAACCTGACGAATAGAGCGTCCCCTGTGGAGACAAAGTCGTGTTTCTCCATTGGTCTAGAGAACGTGTCGCAGAACGTTTTGATGATACGGGCGTCATCAGGCCAAGATGCGTCGTAGAGAGTGAGGCTCTCCCCACAATCCCCATCAAACACTGTGATGGGCGACTCTATCCGGTTGATTCTAAAACTGAAATCACACATAACAAGAGTTCATTAAATAAGTTACGTTTTACTGGTTTAGGGCTTAATAGTTCATCAATCTTTTGTGTTGAAGATGTTGGAATTCTTTTCCCATTAACCTGGCGTTTTATTAAAAGCAGACTTGCTCCAACTAGGTGGTCGTCAATAACTCAATACCTCGTTTATTGAACCAAGTAGACAATTACATGTATAGGTTAGGTCAAAATAATATAATATACAATGGAATTGAACTTAGAATAATAAAATTAACTTAAACATACTATTTACAAATCAATCTGTCTAAAGGAAAATTAAGATTCCAGCTCTCAGTCAGGAAGTCACGGGCGCTGTAGTAGGCTAGCATTTATTTAATAGAACAGATTTTAACTTTCTTTTGAATTTCAGATGGCCTTTCTTGACTCTGCCTTTGGATGCGTTGGAAGGTGGTTAAAGATATTTACTGCATTGTAACGGAGATTTAAAAAAAAATAAAGGTTGACAGTAGACAGGGATTGGAAGATTTTAAGAAGTTCTTAAATTGTAAGTATGGTTATGGGATCTATTGAACTTGTCGATGTTTTGCTTAGGAATGACAAGGTTTTGTAGATGTAAAGTGATGGAAACGTTAAGATGTTTGCAGTTTGAAAAAAATGGTTTGCAGGTTTGTCGTCTTTTTAAAGAAAATAAAGCTCTAAATGCCCGCTTCTGCAAATGGAATAGAAATAAGGTCCACTTATTCTCATACCCCCATATGGGCAAGGCATAGGTAAGATGTGGGAAAATAAGGTCATAATAGGCGGTAAGTAGGACATCAGATTTCGTCGAATTTGCAAGGGTCCGGATGTCAATCGCTCATTTTATCCTGTATTAAAGAAGGGATGAAAAAATGTAAAATAATTTAAACTTAACTTACACGGAGTTTCTTGACACAAAAAAAATTCAATTAAAAAACGTAAACAAATTTACTTACTCTTCTCAGTTCAACAATGAATTTAAGTTTATTACAACTAGCCGGAAAGATAAGCTTTGATCGATAACTGTTGTTAAACTCTTCGTAGAGATCAGACAACACGGACTTTATAACCAATACAAAGGCGTTTAAATACTTTCCCTTATACATTTGTATTTTAATGCAGTAGGTGAATATAAAAATATAGTGTTCATAATTTGCTCAGAATTAAATAACCGTTTAGCTTAAAGTGTTTGTTGTAGGTGTAAATTTCAAAATGTTCTCGTTGTTTGCCATTCTTTTTAGTATTTTGGTAGCTATTAATGAACACTCGTCGAAAAGCATTTTTATTGAACACTATTTTAGGACTCTAAGGACATGGAATAATAATTAAACAATTGCTGATGTGATTTGAATTGTGATTTGATGTGAATTGACTCATCCAAACTACGATGACGTAAATTAAATAAACACCTTAATAACATAATAATTTAAATAGTATAAAACTTCTAGATTGAAAATTCCCCAGGCTCCAACCTCTAGATTTCGTTGTAGTCAAAGTAGAAAGGATTTAGATAGAGTCACATTATTTATGTACTTAATTCTCATTCATTTAAACTTAATACGCCTTTATCTATGGCTACACGAAGACTCTGCTTCATCTACATAATAAAGTATTCATTAATTCCCAACGGTTTACAAACAATTATTCTCAAACACCATTTTACAAACAAAACATTTATTTCAAATGCAGACATGTAAGTAAAATTAAAAAGCAAACGGTTTGCTATTCATACGAATCATACAGATAACTCCTCCTATTAGACATTATGCGTTTAGCTATTATTATGTCGTTTTTAGACAGGTGGAGCTTAGTAATGATAGTCAATATTAAGCTAACATTAAGTTTAGGTTAAGGAAAACTTTGAGATTTATTTAGACAGAATAATGTAGATTTCATAAAGGCTTGATTTAACAAAGCGAGTTTACAACTTACTACTAGAGTTTTTCACATGCAAATCGTAAACTAGCCTAAAGTACTCACCAACTTGCTTGATAGCATCTAATAAAATAATGTCTAGAGAAATATAGTTCGGCGAGAAAATGTATAGGCTACTCACCGGGTTTTATGTAAACTAAATCTTTACACTGTCCAAGTATTCTCACAGTTGCTTGTGCACAAGCAAAAAATTGGATTATAATCATGTAGGAGGAAATGGTTAGGAAATGTAGTGGGAGTTTTAGGTTTTACCCGTCAAAAAGACTGCTTTTTACTCGCTGACTAGTATGTTGTACACTTGCCTTGAATAACCTAGCCTCATCTTGAGGGAGCTTACCTAGGGAAGTACAGCCGTACTATCTGGTTGGGTTTTCCCTGTATGAGGTACGTGCAGCTGGTGTGGGGCGGGTACCAGTGAGCCACTGATAAGAAGATGCCCTCGCTATCACCGGACGCTACAAGGTCATCACTGGTCAACAGCCAATCACAGGCCCCCGTGCGGCTCCCAGCTGTCTCCACGTGCCCCGGCCAGTTGCCCACGTTGAAGTGGAACCCGGTGTTGAGTAGTGGGCCTGCAAAAGTGTAAATTGGGGCGGACAAATATTTCTAACCTCTTTCTCTACCTGAGATCTCCTTTGGAACCTCTTCCCTTAACTGAGACCTCCTTTGGATGATATCCAGACATTGCTGAGAATGGCATAACTTCAACAGACACTGCTCAAAAACACAGTTTCAAAGTACCTTTGGATCTACCTAGTGAGACTCTTGAGTTGTTAATTTAAGCTTATGGAGAAGGGGCGATGGGGAAAAGTCAAGTTTTTCAGTGGCACCAGTGATTTCGTGAAGCCCAAGAAAGCATTGATGATGACCCTCATAGAGGATGTTTTCTTCAACAGCAGTCAATGACGTAAACGTTGAGCAATTGGTTGATTTTTGGTCTTTTAGGGAAATAAGTGCATGACCTATTCTTTCAGAGCACTGTTTTGGTGTTAAATTATTTTTTGAGAAGTGTTTTGAAACGTGTAGTTTTCCGGAGCAATCATACCTGGTTAGATGATTTTTTTTAATAACGTGTTTACTTTAGTATTTAAGGATTTGAGAAGCTACTGTTGGATGTGTTGTCAATAGTTGGGTTGGAAATAGTTTTTTCGTACTGCCGATAAATAATTTGTCTGGGCATTTTCCTAGGCGTTAAACTGTACTTCAATCTTTGTAATACACACAAACCCGTTTCTTGAATCAATTATTCCAGAATGTATTTTCACCTAAAATTGAAACTATGTAATAGAATAACATAAATCATACTAATTTTAAACTTTCAAGTCTTCGAGCCTGTTTTTACAGAATAATATTCATATTTTTGGGAAATAATGATAAATCAAATAATTTTAGGGAAGTATTATTTCTAATATTTTTAATACAGTAATTATTTACACAACAAAAATTTTTTTTTATTAACCTATGAAAATGGATATATTCTTATCCTAGAACATACTCTAATGTTTTGAAACCACTCAAAAATGGATGATTCCCGAACTGACTAAATAAAACTGCATTCAACGGGGACAGAACTCACAAATGTGTTCAAATGAATAAAACATAGCTGAATATGATTATTTAAGTCGCAAAGGTAAAACTCTTTTTGTTATTGCGGCTAGACTGTATAAAACAGTCGTAAAAGTTTTGTATTACGAAGCCGGTCTATTGTGGACGCAGTGAGGCCAACAGAACGACAATAAATTGCCAGAATCGCTCCCAGTGCTGCCACTGTATCACGGAAACTGCCATTACAAGATTCTACTTGTCACAACCGACTAAAGTAGTTCCCGTTTCGGAGTGAGCCAAATATATATAATGCGCCATTGTAAAGATTGGTGTAAGTAGAGAAATGGTAAAGGAAACTGGCTGGTCTTCATTACATTGTATTTTATGGAAAGGTAGGTGACGAAAATGAAATATATTAAGCTGATTCTGGTAAAAACCATCGTTTTAAATATTACAGGGTAGTGCTTGATTGCGCATTGACAAAAATGTCAATGGTGATTTCGGGTTGTTCCCTTGTTAAAGATTGTTTCCTTTTGCGCGTGAGCTTCGGAATTCTGTATTTTATATCATACAAAATTCAAAAGTAAACTCATTTAAAGGTAAAAAACCAAGATAAATGCCAATTATTCCGGTTTAAAACATTTTAAAACAAATTAGTAAAAATACTGATGAAATTAAATTACCGTCGATTCATTTATAATGCACGATTTTAATTGTAAATATTTCTTTTTAAAATATTCAAAAATTTTCGTATTGATTTATAAAAAGATTCTAAAACCAATATTTATCGAAAATCATACATACAAGGCCCAGTGTTTTAAAGATTTTACTAGCTTAATCATTAGTCTCACTTTATAATTCTATCATCCAATGCGTAGCTATAATGGATATTTAATGGTATTTCAGTACAGGGGCCCATTTCATAATAAAGTACAAACTAATATTATTAGTATATCAGCTGATCGCCCAATGAAAATCTAATGGAAATGGGCCCCAGATAGTACAGTGTTTGATAATATAGTTTGTTTTTTTATCACCTACAAAAGCCTTACAAAATCCACGTATATATGCTATAGCCTAGTTAGTTTAATTTTATGCAATAAGTATAAAAAATAAAAAAGGTGTGTTGGTAATGCAACTGTGTAATTAATAAGTCTTTTAAACCAATTCGGTACTTGTTTCAAAAATAGAAATAATAAAAACAATTTTTAGCCTAATAACCTTTTAATTTGTGGAAATAGGTAAATCCTTTGATTTCGTATTTCTTTTGTATTAAAAAATAATAGTTTTTAATTACCTGCTGGTGAAGTGACAAACTCCACAAACAGGTCCTCACTGGTCCCGATGATGGAGTAAGGAAACTTCCCCATTCCACAGAAGATTCCTATGACAGGACTAGACGAGTCCTTGCCGTCGTAGATCTTGATGTAGTCGTAAGGGCAATGTTCAGCTCCTGGACATAATTATTTATCCTCATACAGTTTCCAATTGTATCCTTTTATTTTTTTTAATTTTAATACTGGCCATTTCATAGTTTTTAAAAATATATCATTCCATTTTTTTTATTGTAAGAACAATCAGTTCCTATTGGGATTAATCCTAAAAAAAGAATGAATAATTATGGTAACAACGAAATATATGAATTAAGTTTTTTCCCTTATTTAAAACGAGAAACGACACTTCTCTCAGACCTGGCTAGACTATTTTATGTTTCATATTAATAATATTCAGTAGTACCACAAGGTTTATAAACGTATAGTACCGTAAGTTTTATGTAAAAACAAACTCATACAGGTTTAGAAAACGAATATTTTGTATGAAATATATCTATGTCAGTGAACAATTTCATGCACTATGCTTGTTATTGTCGTTGTAATAGTATAATGTAAAAAATCTCTTAGTTTCATGGATGTAAGCTAATTTAATATAGTGTTCAAGATAGCTCACCATGATTTCAGAAATATGTTTTACTGAGAAAACAGTGAATTAAAGAGACATACCTTAGAAAGGTATTGATTTACTAACACTTACTTTAGCAGATGCATATTAGTGACATAGCTTTTTGAACACAATCTCTACCTTGAGAAAGGAAAGTTTAATCTCGATCTGAAAAGTTAGTTGATATAATTATTCAATAAAATTATTTTTAGTTTTTGGAAATTCAATTGGTTGGACCTGGGAATTTAGATAAACACTTCATACACTTATTTTGGAATTGATAATAAAACACTTTAGTGATACGAGATTTAATTTAGAATCATAAAATGTTTGCTCTATTTCAATAAATAATTTATACATAAATATCTTATGTAGTTTGACTAAAACTGATATATATTACTAGCAAATATATTACTCCAACTTTTATTCCCAGTGTAAATCTCAAATAGAGAGGAGTCGGTGGTTATTGAAGCCCGCTACACACGACGCCCAAAGCTTCACAAATATTTACCTCCGATGGTTCCCGCAATATTCATATTTCACGTTCAAAATACGTCAATCCTTATCTCTACAGTCTGAGCACTGCCCCAGGCAAGGGAGTTTTGCTTCATTCCCGAACCAATGAATATTAAAATAGACATTCGTTATACTAATATTTTCAGTTAATTAAACTTTGCATACAAAGTAAATAGGCCTAAATACAAAGCCTTAAAAAACAAAACTTTGACTTCAAACAGTAAAATGCATCGCAATTTAAACACGATTTCCTAAACAATAACTAAAATCAATTACTTTTCTCTGTTTTCACTTTTTGACAAAGGTTTCCTTATTTTTCCAATTTATGTTCTAAATAGAGAAGTTAGTATCAGTTTTAAGCATAGGAACGTTAGCCAGATTTAACGAAGAAGAACGCTGCAAATTGAATTGAAGATTTATAGGTACATTTCTTATCGGTGACGTCTCGACCGATTTCTTCTGGTGTTAAAAGGTAATACGAATTGTTGGGGTGTAAGTAATACTTGGTGTTAATTTTAGTACTGATAGTATAGGCCCATACAGTATTACATAATCTTTAAAAATGTTTAATTAAAACCATAATGCTACCGAAAGATTTCAATGATTAGACGATCATATGTAACGAAATATGTTAGATGCATCCGAATAAAAAAAGTGCCAGGAGACCGAACTTTGCTTGGATTTTATTAAACATTAAATTTATTAGATAAGCTATTTAACTATATAAGGATGTTTATTATGTTGATTGTTTATTATATTAAGGTTATTAATATGAGACATTTTTTAGATATTACAAAGAAATCAATTTAATACACCTTTAAAAATTCATGGATTGCAATAAAAATTACCTGTATCAGCTACTATTATTAACTGCAGCTACAAAAAAGTATTGACGATAACATGTGCACTTTCAAGGGCATTGGGGCGGAAACTAGATTTTTCCCAGCCTTGTGACCAACTCCAATAATTTCTCTCGTGGCCAAATACCCCACAATAAACAAAAATATTTAAAATCCTTGGACGAAAATAAAAGTTTGTCCGTGCAGGCGTTTGTTTTAGAGTTTAGGATAGTAGTTGATCATTGTAAAACTCTTTTTAAAGATAGAGAAATGTATGGTGTACGGTCAATTGACATATGGCTTGTTTACATTTTACATTGAGAAAAGTTTATTTATTTTAATGTAATCTATTTTTTTATTTTATGAGCCCATTCATCTGTATTTGTATGTGGATCTGCTTTCTTGTTTTCTTTTTATTATTTATTATTCATACTATTATTCGTTGATGATTGCACAAAAGTCCTTCACATACTCGATATACTACATACTTTGTGATGTATCTCGATAAATTGTGTATACCATACAAACATATAACTGGCGCAAAATCCTGTTTATCTGACAAAAGACCCTCTTAGCACAAAACATACCTGATGATATCGGCCTCATCGGACAGGTCATGATGTTCTCGCAGCGTTGACCATCGATGTTGAACTCCTCATTCTCTATGTATAGTTTGATGAAGGGCAGCCTAGTGTTGAGATGGTAGGAGTAGTGGAGACACAACTGATACATATTACCTGAGACATATTACATACCTGATGATATCGGCCTCATCGGGCAGGTCATGATGTTCTCGCAGCGTTGACCATCGATGTTGAACTCCTCATTCTCTATGTATAGTTTGATGAAGGGCAGCCTAGTGTTGAGATGGTAGGAGCAGTGGAGACATACCTGATACATATTACCTGAGACATATTACATACCTGATGATATCGGCCTCATCGGGCAGGTCATGATGTTCTCGCAGCGTTGACCATCGATGTTGAACTCCTCATTCTCTATGTATAGTTTGATGAAGGGCAGCCTAGTGTTGAGATGGTAGGAGTAGTGGAGACACAACTGATACATATTACCTGAGACATATTACATACCTGATGATATCGGCCTCATCGGGCAGGTCATGATGTTCTCGCAGCGTTGACCATCGATGTTGAACTCCTCATTCTCTATGTATAGTTTGATGAAGGGCAGCCTAGTGTTGAGATGGTAGGAGCAGTGGAGACATACCTGATACATATTACCTGAGACATATTACATACCTGATGATATCGGCCTCATCGGGCAGGTCATGATGTTCTCGCAGCGTTGACCATCGATGTTGAACTCCTCATTCTCTATGTATAGTTTGATGAAGGGCAGCCTAGTGTTGAGATGGTAGGAGTAGTGGAGACACAACTGATACATATTACCTGAGACATATTACATACCTGATGATATCGGCCTCATCGGGCAGGTCATGATGTTCTCGCAGCGTTGACCATCGATGTTGAACTCCTCATTCTCTATGTATAGTTTGATGAAGGGCAGCCTAGTGTTGAGATGGTAGGAGTAGTGGAGACACAACTGATACATATTACCTGAGACATATTACATACCTGATGATATCGGCCTCATCGGGCAGGTCATGATGTTCTCGCAGCGTTGACCATCGATGTTGAACTCCTCATTCTCTATGTATAGTTTGATGAAGGGCAGCCTAGTGTTGAGATGGTAGGAGTAGTGGAGACACAACTGATACATATTACCTGAGACATATTACATACCTGATGATATCGGCCTCATCGGGCAGGTCATGATGTTCTCGCAGCGTTGACCATCGATGTTAAACTCCTCATTCTCTATGTATAGTTTGATGAAGGGCAGCCTAGTGTTGAGATGGTAGGAGTAGTGGAGACATAACTGATACATATTACCTGAGACATATTACATACCTGATGATATCGGCCTCATCGGGCAGGTCATGATGTTCTCGCAGCGTTGACCATCGATGTTAAACTCCTCATTCTCTATGTATAGTTTGATGAAGGGCAGCCTAGTGTTGAGATGGTAGGAGTAGTGGAGACATAACTGATACATATTACCTGAGACATATTACATACCTGATGATATCGGCCTCATCGGGCAGGTCATGATGTTCTCGCAGCGTTGACCATCGATGTTAAACTCCTCATTCTCTATGTATAGTTTGATGAAGGGCAGCCTAGTGTTGAGATGGTAGGAGTAGTGGAGACACAACTGATACATATTACCTGAGACATATTACATACCTGATGATATCGGCCTCATCGGACAGGTCATGATGTTCTCGCAGCGTTGACCATCGATGTTGAACTCCTCATTCTCTATGTATAGTTTGATGAAGGGCAGCCTAGTGTTGAGATGGTAGGAGCAGTGGAGATTGCGCGGGTAAACTCCCGGGTACGCGGGAGATTGTACGTAGCAGGTCTGCAGACGACAGTCTTTGAAAACCCTCTCACAGTAGGACCTAGGGTAGGCAAATATACATTTAGTGAATTCAAAGTATGTAAGTTTTGATCATGGCCACTGACAACGCCATGCTGACGTTTAGGAAGGAGACCTTATTCAGGAGAGTAAGATTTAAGATTTAAGATTCTCTACATGTGTCTATACAGTTCCTTTTGCTCAACAATATTGAGTTAAAATCTCAATGGTAATCTCATTTATTGCCAAACCACATTGTATTAATTTATCCAAAACAATCTTTGATTACTGAGTCTAATTATTATTGTTACTCCTTTGTTACTTTTGTTATTATTTATTGTTATTGTTACTCAATATATTGTTATTATTGGTATAGTACAAAATCATTACTTGTTATACATTTTATTATGTTCCTCTTTGTTAACACTTTTGTACTGTTTTAATGAGTATTAGCAATATTGTTAACATTGTAACTTTACGTAAAATGGTTTTATCATGAAGATAAATTGGGTAGAGGTCGTACGGGACGAGGTGAAGCTTGGAGGGGAATAGTGGTGTGGCGGGGGAAGTGTCGCTACGCGAGGCGACGATCGGCTCGTCTCCTACCCCCACCATGAATTAATTTCCCCACTTTAGACCGTTCCCGCCGAAAATCTCAGGCTTCACCTCGTTCCGCACGACCTCTAGACTTCCTTATCTGTTGGCCCAAACAACCGAACGAAGATATCGATTATTCGATTGTTTCATTCGATATATCGTTTGGTTAGTTAGGTAAAGTTAAACTAATCTAACTAACCAATGTTTGGTTAGTTTGGATTAACCTTACCTAACTAATCGATATATCGATCGATATTTTCATTCGGTCGTTTGTGCCAACCCGATAAATGAATTGACCCGTATACTTACCCAGCCACGACTTGTCCCCTTCTGTTAGGGTATAGCTCAGGGTGTTGGCCATACCGAAGATACACGTCGAACTGCTGCTCGGCGCGGCTGTCGAAGCTGAAGTACGTCTGGTCTGTGAAGTTGTCTACGTGGAACAGCAACTTCACGAAGCTCGTCTCGGATATGAACGTCTGCGCTTGTTCTGTCTCTCCACAGAATAGCCCCGGGTCCTTGCGATTGCTTAGCTCAGTCTTGGCGTTTCCGTCTACAATCTAAACATTAATGGTAGAGTCAGTAAACCCTTAAATACGTATTGGGGTATTGTTATTACGAGTCCTGAAAATATGTGTTTACCGGACGACCTCGTCTCGCGCGGGATTTCCATACGAGTCCAGTTAACAAATTTTGGACGAGTGGCGTACGATATTTTACACCATAATGCTCTAAGCTAACTTAACAATCAAAATCCGTACAAATCCTTATATTCCGACTAGAGAACTAACAACCACTACTTACAACCTCTAAGAGAGGTTATGTTTTTGTTTATAACCACTCATCACCAAATATAATCAGCTGGTTGGTGTCCGGTAAAAACTCATTTCAGTACGTAGTACGTAATAAACCTCCATTTCATAAATCTGGCGGCAAACAGCTGTTTTCTGGACTAAATCCTTGCGTGGGCAGTTCGTCGAAACAGTGTAGTGGGGCGTAAACAAGGGTTCGTTACCGTCTGCAATTTACGACATAAAGATTTTGTTTCAGAAAAATATGTTGAAGAATGTATTACAATTCATTAATATGTTGGAATAGACAACTGAGTGTTCTCTATAAATTTGCAACTAAAGTTAACTGGTATTTTAATTTAAAAACTATTGAAGGTTGATATTCAAAAAAAGGTAAATACTACAAAAAATGGATTCCATAACGTTTTCCAACGCAACTGTTCTGATTATGGGGTTAAAGATGAAGTTTACCGTTAAAATATTATTTTATAATTGTATTAAACGTTAAAATAATTCTATGCTCCTGCAAGACTCTTACCTGCAGGTACCCGTTGTGGCAGTCGGTGGCGTTCACCAGGGTTCCTACTTTGAACTTCTTGAACCTTATCTTGAGTATCCAGTCTTTGGGAGTGCCCCGGAAGCTGCGGAAGCGGTACCAACACGTCATCGGCTTCCCGAACGTATCCTGCGTCACTTCCGGGGACACTACGTCCTCGTATATGTCCACCGTCTTATTACAATGGTCCTTCCTCACCTCTGGAAAATACATGTTTTCCATTATATCCTTTATATGGTAATTATTTGTCCTAAGACGCTAGGCGAGCCTGGAATTGTTTTTCACATTACCTCAGGTTAGACCTAAGGGTTGCAGTATTATCACTTTGAGAAAATTCATTGGTGATCTGGAGAGATTTGAACCCGGGACCTCAGGAACCTAAGTCCCGCGCTCTAACCACTAGAACAGCTCGCTTCCCATAGGGAAGTGTAGTAGTAACTAACAACAGGGCTTCCTTAGTTTTCAAACATTTTTAAGAACAATGAGAATGATAGTCTCCATCTGATGGATGACCTTTCCTATATACAAGTATGTATCCTATGTACGCGGGTCCAAATACACACACATAGTATTTTATTTTGTGCTGTAACCTTTTTGGGATTTTGAGTCTATCTCAACTGTACCTTGAACTGTTAACCTATTTAAAGTATAGACCCAGGACTAGAGATATACAGGTATATACTGGTAGTATATAGGTATATCCCTAGCCCTGGTATAGACCTATCTGATTACGAGAAATGTCTCTGAATTGTTGAATTTTCCTCTACAATAATCATGCGAGAATTATTCATATAACACTATCTTACCTAATCTCAAATACATCTGCTTTGTTTTTCAAAGGAAAAAAAAAAACTTGATAACAGCTAACTACGTCTAAATAACCATTTTAAATTCGTAAAATCAAAAGGATTGTTTACTCGTCATAAGTAAAGTCTGAATCCAGAATTGTACTTGGTTTAGTTTAAACGCTCTCTAAACTTTTAAAGAGCTAATCGGTGCTCTGGGAAAATAATTTAGTTAAAATGTGGCTTACGCCAATTGACTCGTTTCAAACGATGTTGCAAACTTTGTTCCGTGAAAAATTTCCAATTATACCTCAACTTTGAGCGGGTCCCTTTGATGGATTATAGCTTTGATCCATTAAATTCATTCACAACTAATTGGGTTGAAATTGGAATGAATTCCACGAGAGCTTTGATTCGAGATCAACTGTTACTTGGAATACTTTACGGGCATTTAATAAATAAAATGTATCGAAAAAATATCGGATTGGGTCATTGGTTTGGGGAATTTGTGTGAAATAAAATAAAAATGTTGTATACAATCAGATTGTTGTATAGAGAAGGTTTTTATTGTTTGAGAAAATTCAATATATTTTAATTTCTTTGTAGCGCCCCTAATTAAATGTTTCAAACTAAAAAAGAATTTGAATAAATCATGACCAATATACACTTCTTAATGAGAATAGCTTTGTGAGGATAGATTAAGCTTTGCTCTGAACAAACATGTAAAGGAATTATCACCCATCTGTTGGTAATTTGAGGGATTTAGGCACGGACTACTAGCCACCAACGCCCCTTTACACAATATACGCAATACACTCAAAATAGCATTAATATTATTATATAGTATTATTATATTTGTTATTGTGGCTCTATATTTCATTATGCCATTATTTTAATCAATATTGATTTTGATACTAGAAATCACATCCTTACGAACCATATAACCAATATGTAAAATACATGGACAAGAGGACCTAAAACAACGATCCTCTCGGTACAATTAAGCTAAAAGTTATTGTAACCTGCAAATTCTAATTAAATCAGTGGCACATATATAAAACACGGGTTATTTTATTTTTGTCTCATTTCAATGGTTATTAACTAAATCAATATATCTTCTTAAGTAATACGACCCGTATAAGAAAATATAATCGCCACAAGTAAAAATTTCTTTTATGAGACATTAGTTAATCTATATATTTAATACATATATCTTAATTAAAGCGGATTTGTAAATTTTGGACCACTCGAATATCTAATGATTAAATCTCAATAAGAACCAAGCATACGCTGAAACGTTTTGTGATCTTTCGTTTTACTGTCTTTTACCAAAGATCGATTCCTAGACTCCCTAGTAGACAAAATGCAGTACTGTACTAGAAACAAAAAGGCTTAAACTTTTCTCGTGGTTTTTCAATTGATTACATATTTACGTAAGTATTAAATTGGGAAGACTTCCGTATCTGTTGGCACATACAACCGAATGAAAATATCGACTATTCGATTTATTCATTCGGTATATCTTTTGGTTAGTTAGGTTAGGTTAACCTTACCTAACTAACCAAACGATATATCGAACAATCTCTATATCGATCGATATTTTTATTCGGTAGTTTGTGCCAACAGATACGGAAGTCTACCCATTTAGTTACTAAAAAATAGTGACAGGTTGAAATACCTTTCCTAGTAGCAGCCGGGTTCGGTGACACACATATCACTGCTATTAGGAAGATAACAAAAACTATCATTACAGTCGCCATCTTGTCCTCTTCTTCTTCCTCTTACACTCTCACGTTGTCCAAACCAAACGAGTAAGCTTGGTCACCTCATCTGAAACAAAGAAAAGTTATCTTGCCATTGATTATATTTTTGTTATAGTGGTGCAGAGTTGCAGGCCATATAACACAAAGTAAATGTTTACCATTTTATATTATTCTTGCTGATATATTGTTTGTCTCTATAGTGCGATCGAGTCTAGAAATTTTTATTTTGCTTTTTAAGATAATTTAATAGATGTTCTTATTGCTAATTTTAGTGGTAGAGGGAAATAATGAAATAATGTGGGACGAATCGGAAATAATTAGGATTGTATTTTATTAAACATTTTCCTCTTAAACATTTGGAGACGATATATTTTATTCAACAGTCACAGTGATAGATTTTTTCTAATCATCGTTTTGGAATTTCAGTTTCACAAGTCTGCAGCCACTATAGAAGTCTACAAGTTTGCGTTTTTAAATGTATAATAAACATTTTGATTATATAAAAAAAGGTGCAAAATATCACCCGTAAAAAGCTTAATTATTGAGTCACATAAGATGTAGCTAGTATGAGTTTGATGTGAGCTAAACATAGTGCGTTCAAAGAAAGAAGAGCAAATTTTACAGTTGTTGTGCTATATCATATAATTTAATTAAGCACGATATCCCATGTAATACAACTAAAAACGTTTCACAAATTAATGATAAATTATTTGACAGAACTTACCATTATTCTATACTTTAATCCGTACATCACATTGTGATAGTATTATTTTAATTGCAACATATAATTTAAAAAATCCCAAATAATTTCAACAACCATAATATAACAATGTTGTGCATACAAATGGTGTTTTGACATTGTTTCATTGATAAATAACACAAACCATCAAGCCACTCTCTGTATGTGCATGATGTTATACAGCAGCTATTTGTTGTTTCAGTATGATAAACAAGATATGGCATGTTTGCAATTCGCTTGCTAAGTCACACAGATAGCCCAGTTCGGTGGGTGAGCAGAGTGCAATAATAATGGATCTGCATCTGTCAGACTGTTTATAGTACTGCATGTCATTGCTCCCTTTGCCTTACTCTTTCACTTCATCGAGTTTTCCTGTTCAAATTTAAAGTTTCTAATTTAACTTGCCAATGACCAATATTACTGGTTGAAATCACTCAGCATTGTAAAATGTTATACATATTTACTGTCTTGAACAATTTGTATATCTACTTGTATTTACTTTTTTGTTTTTTTATTTATTAATCTTTTTTGTATTTACTTTTGAAAAATTAACGGTTTTAGAGTATTTTAAGAAACAACATTTTAAATAGCCGCCATTTTGTTTTCTGAATTTGAAAAATCTTTATAATTTTGTTGTAGCTTTGCCAATTAGTAATAATGTTTGTGCAATGTTTCAATTTCGCATCATGGACTACTTTTTAGAAACAGATTAATAAGTGAAAAAACACAATGGTGGCTATGTGAGTAACTAAGGACTTACAGACAATTTAAATATGACATTTAGATACGTTTCTTACTCAGGAACAGAGGTCTAAGATATTGGTAGAGTTCCGGGACTCCCTGTATGAATATTGTTTCATAGTATTTAACTGTTTTTGGTGATATAATGTTGGGGAAGTATTTATTACCGTAGTTTCATGGTTATACTTAATCAAAACTTAACCACGATACTGTTTTAGTTTTAGGGTTCTGATAATTTCGAGATGCTAACCCAATCTACTACAGGTAGATTTTATCCTTCTACCTCAAAAAATGGTTTAGTCTCAAAAAATTTTTTTTAAATTTTGAAACTCTATAAAAGTATATGAAATACATCCTTTGCACTAAATCTTGTTTTGTTATTGCATCCAGCCAGAAAACAATATCCAATATTTCAAATTTATTTTTTTAAGAGTACTTATTTCTAGTGCCTTTTTAAGTGTACCTTTCTTTAAATACGTATGTAATAATTAAAAACACAAAACCCCCTATATCTGTAGAAAGTGATTTAAGTGAGTATGTGCAAATTAGTCTAGAATCATTCATATATCATATCAGTTCAATTATATATTTAGGGTTCTGATAATTTCGAGATGCTAACCCAATCTACTACAGGTAGATTTTATCCTTCTACCTCAAAAAATGGTTTAGTCTCAAAAAATTTTTTTTAAATTTTGAAACTCTATAAAAGTATATGAAATACATCCTTTGCACTAAATCTTGTTTTGTTATTGCATCCAGCCAGAAAACAATATCCAATATTTCAAATTTATTTTTTTAAGAGTACTTATTTCTAGTGCCTTTTTAAGTGTACCTTTCTTTAAATACGTATGTAATAATTAAAAACACAAAACCCCCTATATCTGTAGAAAGTGATTTAAGTGAGTATGTGCAAATTAGTCTAGAATCATTCATATATCATATCAGTTCAATTGTTTACTTTTTGTTCAATTAGCGTAGTTAATTTTGTAAAATTGTTCAATTTTAATATATTATATCTGTGTAAAGACTATTTCGTGATTAAAAGCAAATTTATATTGAATATTCAGATATTTAACTTAGGACACAGATTTTTAGTTATCAAAAATAAATAGCACTCAAAACAAGTTTCATAAAACGTTGAAAAGCGTCTAATGGAAGAGTCAGTAGCAATCCATTGACAGTTCAATATGTCAAATGGTCCAGTGAAGCAGTGAACCCCCCCTGCGCCCCCCCCCCCGCCCCCCGCACCAGGAATCAATAAAGGGGGTGAAAAACAACAAAGCTTTTCATTCCAAATGTGTAACATTGGTAACTTTGCACCCTCAGTTATTCCATAATTTTTTTTCAATAATAGTTTTTCTCGGTTAAAATTTAAATATTATTGGTTTTCTTGAAATGTGTGGATCCCACAAATGTTTTGTCTAGAGAGTAGCTCTTGGTAAAGTAATTTAATTTTTAATTATTTTCATTTTATTATTGTCACTTATGTTTTACCCCAAATATTGGTTGATAAGATCATATGTTTCAAAATCAGAACCATTTACTAAAAGCCCAATGATCAAGAATGTTTTAAAGATATAAGAAATATTTTCCATTATTAATTACCTCCCCTGACACATTTGGTGGTTATTTTATCATCATTTCCTTTTTAGAATTGGTCTACAGTGCAGAGTAACTCCGGTAGTTATAAAATTAAATAAAATCTACTTTGTAGGTAAATGTTTATACTTATTGGACAGTTATTTGAAAGATTGATAGATATTTAACTTGCAAAAGCTCTAAAATATTACTGTAGAAAGTAGTATTACCTATTAAGTATAATATAACTCATTACGGTCTTTTGTAACATAGTTTTCTTAAGACAACACTACGAAAAAACATATACTAAACCAACGACAAATTTTGAAATTAAATCGAGTACAAAATGAAATTATTTTTATGGTAAAATTTTTGAACAAAGACACCTTTTTTAACGTCTAAGAAAATAAAATCGGTCAAATACATTCTTAACCTGAAAAAAATCTACTAATAAAAGAATAAAAAAAACTAATATTTAAAAGCAATAATAAAACATGATGTAACAGTTATTTTTGGAGGTACAAAAACTGTTACGGCAAGAATCCATCTCAATGGTTCTGAGAACCTCTCTTCACTTAGCTAATTAATTGGTTTCAGAGAAATCCATCTCAAAGCGTTATAATTGTTTTATCAAAAGACCTTTTTAAAAAAATATTGCGTTAAGCATTCATGTTTCAGGAAATGTGGTTTTGAAATATACTTAATTGGTTATTAATTATATTATTCTCCAATTCAATTCTGTAAGATATTTCACAGTAAATAAATTAATTAGTTTTTAATTCAACCTGCACAATTAACAAACGTTTTATAACCCCTAAAAACTACGTACATCATCAATAAAGAACAAGTAAACAAAAAAAAATGCCAATGTTATAACTATTTTTAGACATTCAATAGTGGCTATGCTGTTAATAACTAAAGGAATGGATTTAGCAATAACCTCAAAACTCATTATTTTTGTTAATTATTAATAATATTTAATTTTCTTAAACGGAAATCTGGACGCCAGTGTTATGTAAGTATGTGTTGTACCACAGTTCTTACTTGCTACAAAAAATCATTTCATGTAACTTTAATTTTATCCTTCAAACAAATAAGAAACAACTGCTGCTAGAGTTCTTTCCAAGAAATATATTGTAAGACTGTCTATACTTCAACCTGAGTAAAGTAGAGAAGACTACTTCAAACCTTGAAACTTCCGATCTTCAACGGAAGTCCGGCATGTGCCTCACGTAGTCTGGGAAGTCTATTGCACGACTTTCCCGTTATTACTTTATCTTTTATTTACCAACAAATTGTAAACAATCCATTCCAATTTGTTTCTCTCACAAGTCAAAGTAATTATAATAATTTGATAATGTATTCTAAAACAGTCTAAATTGATGGTAAATTAAGGATCAATGAACCTATTAAATATTTTATATATATATTAGCTTCATACTTAGTTTGTAAATTGGGTTCAAGATTTTTTTACTTACAAGTGACATTCTGCCTCTGAAACAGAAAAGAAATTTTTATTTGTTTTTATTAATGTTCATTCATATTTATATCTAAAGGAAAATTACCATGAAAGTTATGTAGATGTAATAAGACTATATTTTACATGTACACGTTCAAAGATTACATTAAATTTTCAAACGAAAGATATTACGAAGTAATATATTAAGATATTATTAAGATATTAATAACGATATTAATTTAACGAAGACATTGAATAAGTAAATGTTAATATCCAAAACACAATGTATCAGTATTCCAGAAGGATTATTTGAAGGATTTTACTTCGTGAACCATAACCACTAATATACTCCCCAACATACAGATACAGTAGGTAGGTATACAGTACACAATTATTATGTATTATATTATATTTTTAAAGCTCGAACAGAATTTATTAAAATTTAATGATACAAATTTAATATAAAATATAAAATAAAAATATAAAATGTATATATAAATCTTAATACAAAAATCATAATTAATATGAGATATGAGATATGAGATATGAGATATGTGATATGAGATATGAGATATGAGATATGAGATATGAGATATGAGATATGAGATATGAGATATGAGATATAAGATATGAGATATGAGATATAAGATATAAGATATGAGATATGTGATATGAGATATAAGATATACGTAATAAGATATAAGATATAAATATAAAATCAAAAATATTATATTTATTATATAATTTATTGCTAATTATCAGCAGGTGGATTAAATCAAGTTTTTATTCTGGAAAGACAAAAATAAGGAATGAAATAATGGAAGGAGAAAAGTTTTTAAAGAAGGGTGGAAAGACAGAAATAAAGAAGGACAGGATCAGCCACACACAAACCCCAACTCAAGTAGTCTATAATGAGACTGGAGAGACTGGAGTACAAAGCGACGCCATGACGCAATCTAGAGATCACGTGACTTGTTATTTCCCGGGTTGACTTTGAACTGCGGGATCAGTGGATTCAGAGACACTTAGATCACAAACGAGTGGGTTTTATTTAGATGTCTTCACATAAAAATGATTTGTGTAGGAATAAATCTTCAAACTAAGTCACCGTCAGGTTCTCTACACTAAAAACGTTTTTGAAAAATGTTTGCTTTCATTTACGTTATTCATAATTAATTTTGAATATGCAAATATGGTGTGAAGTTATAAATTTATCAAAACTTGATATTATTTAGTATTCTCATGATGATTAAGGCATTAAGAAAATGGATGACTTGTCAGTGACTCATAATAGTAGTTAACTCAACGATCACGTTAAAGATTGTGTTAACGACCCGAATAAAAAATTAAAGTACGAGCCTTGGCGAGTGCCTTAAAATCTTCTACGAGTGTCATTAAGACTATTTACGCGAGTTGCGTACACTACTTTACCTACGACAATTTTTAATTACTAACAATCACTTTTTATAACATCTAAGAGAGATTATTTTTTCGTTTATGACCTCTCATTGCCACTGACGGTGATGCATTGACTCATTGTAGCACTCATTAACAATTAAATTGGTCTAAACAGCTGATTAATTGAAGTTCAAAGCATTACAATTTTACTTCTTTGCTCTTAATTCCAGAATATCATTGGTCCGTTACTTCTATTGTTAAGTGAAAATTCTTTTAAACAAGTAAACAATGCTGTTATGTGTGAATGTTTACAATACTAAGAACTGAACTGAAACTGCTAGTTTAAAGACGACCGTAGTTAAACATGTTTAATATTATTGTGTTAAGCTAAAAGTTTGATACTCGAAATATAAATAATCTAAATCATATAGATCCAATATTAAATGAACTCTTTACTTTAAAACCAAATGCAAGAGACACGTGTTCCTTATTAGTACAAAGTACGAGGGAATTAAAAATACATTTAAATACATTACTGTAGGCTAAAATTAAAGAAAATAGGCTAAACATTTAACGCCCGATAGGTTTTGCCATACAGGACGATTACCTATTAGGGTTTAAAACAAACCACAAAAGCATATCCAAACATAACATGTAATTTATCCACATACGCAAAGTTACAAACTTCCTACTGGTTATATAGTATGAGAATACATGATAATGTATCATTTAACCACTTGTATAGATTTAGATTATGTAGATTTCGTTGGGTGTAGATAAATATAATTTTCTTCAATATTTTAATAGATATACATTAAAGAACTCTTGTACTTTTTAAACCAAATATTTATTTTAAAACTTAAGTTTAAGGGTATTAAGATTCATCTGGTAAAACGTTACCTTAAACGCTCAGGCCAACAGCGCGCATTTAGGTATTAACTAAGCAGAACGGCCTCGTTGAATTAATATTTCAAAACCAACGCTGCGAAGCGGCACTTTACCCATCTGATGCTATTTCAATATCCCAAATCTTCAGTGACACTTTGTATTTCAGTAAATCTTTCGTTAACATTAACTCAAATTATTAAACAACCCAAACAATAATTTGTGAATTGTAACAAAACTTAGCATATTTTAAGGGGGGTTATCCTGGAAGCCGGTTCAGTTTAAATAATAAAATTATACTGCAGTGGTGAATTAAAAATAAAACATAGTAGAGAAAATGTATTACTATTCATCAGCATTTATTATTGTAATTCAATCAGGTTGTCAAAATGAATGTCTGCTTTGTAAAAAGATAGTACGATTGCAATTAGTATTCGAGTTCAAAATATTTTTTATACACTTTTTCTCGTGTTAATGTCTAATTATATACAATATAACCTAAATTTAAAAGCATTACAAAACATTTAATTCATTTTAAATTATTTATACAGTTTTGATTGCATGGTAAAATAATGTACTGTATATCTTTGTATGCATTAAATAGCTTATTCCTACTTAATATTTAATCTTTTTTTAAGATAAAACATTGTCTGTAACCTATGGAATAGATGCTTTATTTCCAGTTTTTTAAGAAATAGATTGATAAATTTATAAGTAATTTTTATTTATTTATTTTAAGTAATTCATTATTTCCAATACTTTTTCATTTTTACCTTATCACACTGTGAACTTGAATGAGTAGATTGCTTCAAAATAATTTGTCCAAAGAATTACAAAATGCACAAGCGTAATATCCATGTGCCTTATTATTATTATTATGACAAAATAAGTTGTAAATATTTGTTCTAATATAAAAATTGTCATCAAAAATATTAAAATCGTACTTCGTAAAACAGCGTTAAATAGTAAACGAAAATTTAGAATTCATAAAGCATACTCACAGGCCATTATATCTTTCATAAATCAGTCTTAAGCTGTAAGTCACAAAGTTACTTTTCATCAAAAGTGAAATAGTGCTTAAGCCACATAAAGCTGACTGAGTGATCATATAGTTTTTCATGACGCAAATATTGTAATAAAGTGTAAAATATGGAACAAAAACGTTTACGTCCTTTAATTTCTTACATTTATTATATATGCAGTTTTAAAATGTGTCATACAAATTTCATTAATAATATTATAAGTTCAATTTTATTATCAACAAAAATAATTCTAATTTTTACAGATTACAGTTCTTCTCGTTTTATTGCTAATCAATAGACACCTTAGGATCATTTGGTTTCATTTGGATTCATTTGGGTTTTCATTATATTTTATGTTAGTATTACTAATTAAGTTTAATCTAAACATTTTAAAAATCATAAAATTTTTTTATCAAATCTGTACTTTATCACTGGTTTATTATTTTGGTTCAATACTTTCAACATCTTCAAGGCAAACTATATTACTTACTAAGAAGGTAGTTGGCAGTTGTTTAGTAGGCAAAGTGTGGCCTAATTTTTGTTAACGTTGAAATACGATAAATAGTTTTTTTTTTTATATTAACAAAACCAATTCCTCCATTTATTAAATTCTCGACCAGGCTCGATCTGAGGCTTCAAAGCCCCAAGCCCAACCCTCAATATGGTAAGTAGTTGATACACTGCCAAACCTTGAACAGACTTGGCTACGAATATTTTTATGAAATTTATATAACATAGATTTTGCCAGAAATATATTTATTTTGAAGTTTGTCACTATACCAATTTATATCATAACCTTGATAAAATAGTGATCTAATAATCGTCAAATATATTTGAGTTTAAATTTGTGGTTGAGGTACTCATATACATAAAACTGTTTATTTTAAATCAAAACAGGATTAATTTTCGTTAAATCTTTATTTTTAGTCCAATGAGGTCATGAATATTACCTCAAATTAATTTTAAGTTGCACTTTACCATGTTCGTTGTTTGTAAACAATTTTGCTATTATTATCAACAGTTGTAAATCAGTTATAAATAATTGTTAATTATTATAAAATTGAAAATCATATCAGAAATACTTGTGTAATTTCATCATAAGTAACAATTGATGCCTGTTAAAAATATTAGTGGTACAAGCGCCTTATTATTCTCTAACAAGGAAACTTCCACAATTCGAAATACTTGAAGTGGCCTTGAATATTGTAATTGGGCTTACCTCAGGGTCGAGTCTGCTTATAGGGCATTTTAGTTGAATTGATGGTATCCTTATTTTATCATAATATATCAATGTAATGGGAGATATTTGACATATGTTAGGAGTTGGTTTGGTTTTAAAAGGTTTGTTTGCATTTGGAAAGAGTCACCAATCTTAAATCTTTTAATCCTAAAAAGATATGGCCATTAACTGCACAGACAATTTGAAACTAAAATTGACTCATGATTTCTAAAGAATATTTTTTTTTATAAAAAAATCTGTTTTCATAGAAATACAGAAACTAGCAGAAACAGTATGTATTTAACATTTTTACAACAACAAAAATATTCTAGGCTAAGGGTTTCTCATCCCAACAATTTGATAGTTGTTATGAAATGCATAATATCAAATGTTAAAGCACTCTTTTCAGTAATCAACACGGAAAGCATTGTAATATTATTGCCGTTCATGTAATACGTATATTTAAGTAGGCTGTGTATTTTCCTGGCATTGTCAGAATATATTACACCTC